GAGGTTAGGGAGAAGACATAAGGGAGAGATTACAACCATCTGAATTTCCTCCCCCTCTCCCTCTGGCGTCCTCTTTCCGTAACAGTGACTAAGACTAGATGGACTTTTACCTTCCTTTAGACTCTATATATGTTTTCTCTTCTGCCCGAAGCATCCCGTATAGGAAACTGCCTCATATAGCTAGAGGGCAAAGAATTAAGTTACAGATGTCGGATACAGTCAACCTTGCTCTAGAAGAGGTGAAACCACGAATTTGGAGAGAAGGAGAGGGAGATGAAGATCCAGTCAAGGAGCGGGGAGGGGAGGGAAGGGGAGGAGAAGGGGAGCGGAGGGAAACCGTTGATATTGGATGGGTTTCCTTGATGGTCTGTGGGCACTGGATTTGTACATACACTCAAGCTTTATGATACTTCATATCTAAAGTTTGCTCTAGACCGGTAAGGGCTCCAGGTGCGACAAGGTTGCAAGAGTTGTCCGGGTCTGTTATTCAGAAGGGAAGAGACAAGATATCATAGGGACATGAGTGTGCACCTTTTGACCCAAGAAAGGGAGAGGAGACCACTGTCGCGGTGTGAGTAGCTAGAGAGCGGTGTTTGAGCGGAGGCAGGTTGGGAAGCTCCTTGACCTGAGAATACCTGGGGAAGAAGATGAGTAGAGACAATGTTCTCTGAAAACTTCTTTTTCCTTGTGGACTCATACAAAGACTTCCCCCAGCACCCTTGCTGGTAGGTAGAGCCATATGGGAGATGGGTGGGACTGATACAGACCATTTCCACATGTGGCTCAGCAAAAATAGATCGCATTAAGGTTCCTCCTCTACCTGAGAGTGGAGATATCCTCAAGACAGAAGGAGAGAGAATCCCCGAAGGTAAAAACAATGAGGGGAACCTCAAATGTCAGTACAAACGAAAGCAGTCAGATGAGAAGGCCTGAGTCCCCCTCACACCAGTGAGCCCTTCCCTCCTGTGGGTACTGTGGGTACGTGTTGCAGTGCTGGGGTGGCGGGTGGAGAGAGGTGTTTGCTACCATAGTCTAAATCTTGCTTCTTTCTCTCCACCCCAGGATAAATAATAGCCATGAGAAAATGATTGTTATTGAAGGTCTCAAGTGGATTGAACTCAGGTCCTTGTGCTTAAAAGGCAGGCAGCAGAACCACTAAGCTAAATCCCCAGCCCTACCAAGCTCTTATTGAATGCAGTTTTATTGACAGTGAGGAGATTACAAAGTAACACTACCATAAACTTTTGTTGTTCCTTATATAGTACCAGAATGTTTTAAGCACATAGAAGTTTTCTGCCAAAACTCGCCGAATAAATAGAAAGCTTTTTTTTTACTAGTATCCAAAATAAGTATTTCATTTCAAAATGGCTGAGAGGGAAAATTAAATGGTGTTTAGCCTCTGAGTCTGCAATAGGCCAAATATTTATAGTTTTAGAGTCTTCAGTTCTTATAATTACAAATAGAGGAGTGCTTGGGAAATTATGCTGTAGTTTATTGGTATGAAGAGAAATGCTGAAAAGAATTCCTTTGAATGCTGCCTTGTACTGGAGAACATAATCATCAGAGGCTGGAAAGGGCTCCAGCTCACAGAGACTGTATAAACTCATTTGGATGGAACTAAAGGAAAAATAAATGAAGTGATTTTTTTGTTGTTTCTTTTTTTTTTAGTAACTTGAATGAATCCTGAAGACATATGGGCAGTATAACTAGCAAAAAACAACCAAAAACCTCTCAGCACTTTCCTATTTCCAGGTGAACCTCTATTTACACATATTCATAAAATACACTTAACTATATATAATTGCTAGTCTGCCCCAGATCAGAGAGCCGTCCTCACTTCCTCCTCACCCCCTTGTAGCTTGTCACTCAGAATACGGCTGCCCCTGAGAATTGAGTGGAACTGTACCACCTCTGATCTTCTATTTGTAACTGTCCTTACAACATAGGGAATAAAAAATTAAATTCACTTAATGCACTGAAAGGTACTTGGCCCCAAGAGCCTAGCTAAGTGTGGATTAACTCCACTACAGCCTGGCTTCCTGAAGACTCCTCTCAGGTCTCTGGCCCATTCCGGAAAAGACAGCTTGAGTTTCAGCTGCGGAGTGTCGTGCAATTTCCCTGATGCCCTGAACTGATGTGTTTATTTAACCCAGGGCTGAGGCTGAGGCATTACAAATAAAACAAGTCCTTTTTTCCCAGAAAAATAAAAGGAAGCATATGGTTGTAATTGAATGTGAGCTTAAACCATAATAAAAAGGAAGTCCATTTTCCAGTTGGGAAGCTTAGAGACACTGTCATGCTTTCTAGGAGCAGCTCCTTCAGTAAAGATTAATGAGGGCTGGGGATTTGGCTCAGTGGCTCCGTCGCCTGCCTTGTAAGCACAAGGACCTGAGTTTGAGCCCCCGTACCAAAGGGGGGGGAAGATTAATGAATCTGTTTCACATATGCAAAGTGACATGTGTTATTTTGATTCTGCTTATATTTGTGTCAATCTTCTTGAACTGTTGAAGCAGAAGATAAAAAGCAGGGAATCTGGGAAACCAAAAGGACCAGGCATATGTATGGTCAGAGTTTTCAGATCAATAAGGCAGAAAGCAAATGATAATTTCAAATTATTTATCCAGTTCTAACATGTCTCCAGTCTAGAAAGCCACTGCCAAGTTTTTGCCCAACCTATCCTATCAAGCTGTGATAGAAGAAAATTTCTCTAGTTTCAGCGTCTCTCTCTTTTCCTTGATCAAATGTACAATCTTGATTCTTACTGCATTTAGAGCTCTAAGTCTCCCTCTTCACACGACACCCCTGAGATTTCAAGGGGAGACACATTTCTTAGTTCCATTAAGGAAGTAAGTCTGTTTGCCCACCTATAACCCATAATAAAGTACTTTTTACCTCTCAAAACTTTTACTATAGTAAACAGTTTACTATATACAGCTTTTCAGCTGTATGAGGGCCTGTACATACCAGACCAAAAGATGTTCCAGTCACGCTCACATAGACTTTGCAAGTTATGGCCAAAATGATTGATTAGAAATGAAATTAATTCACCAATGCTGCTTCAAGGAGGAGGGCTATACATGGTTGTACCACTTGTAATTTAAGAGCTTGGTGATTTAACTTTCTCCATAAACTACTTTCTCAAGGAGTTGTATTTTCCAGCCTGGGCATAGAATTAAAAGAGCAGATGCCTTTACAGCTGCTCTATGCTTGGTGCAATCCTGCATTATCCATGTCAGGTGAGGAGAAAACCCAGTGCTTTTATACTAATAATGTCTTGTTTTTTTTTTTTTTTTTTTTTTTTTTTTTTTTGGTACTGGGGATTGAACTCAGGACCTTGCACTTCTGAGGCAGGCAGAGGAACCACTGAGCTAAATACCTGGCCAATGTCTTGTTCTTAATATGTAGTAATTATAGCCTGTACCTGACGTGTTACCACCAAATACCCAGAGACATGCATAAGGGTAATGATATGAAACTGTTCCACAAAGGTTATTAAATGAACCATTTTCACAGTTGGAATTAAGTACAGTCATCCCTCAGTAACCCTAGAGTATTGGTCTTAGGACCCCCTTACCCTAGGAATCCAGTATTTCTGGAAGCTCACGTTCTTTTTTAAAAAATTCATTAAGTTAGGAAGCTCATGTTCTTTATATAAAATATTTAGTGTTTGCATACCACCTTCTCACAGCCTCCTGAAATCATCTCTACATTACATATGATACCTAGAACAGTAAAAATGCTATGTAAATAGTTTCATAAAGTGCTGTTCAGAGACTCATCGTGACAAGAAAAATCATCTGTACATGTTGGGTACAGATACAATTTTTTTCAAGTCTTTTCAGTCTGCGACTGGTTGGAATTTTCAAACGTAGAACCCTTGGATAAGGAGGGCTGACTGAACTTTTGATATAAATATAATTCTAGCAATAATTTCCCTACCCAAGATGGGAGAAGATGTGATTAATGAAAACCAGTTACATTCACACACATATTATTTTAGCTCTTTAAATATTTTTTTATTTTTTCAAAATCCAATTGCACATGACCCATTATTGATAGGCCACTTCCTCTCCCAAACTGCCAAAGAATAAAGTGATAAATTTTAAGGCAGTAAAATTATGTATCATTTACTACAATCATTCCCCTTTCCCCAAACTTGGCAAGCACTGAAGAAAAAAGATGGCAGGTGGATGCATTTTGATTTGCAAAGCTAATTTGGAACAAATGACATAAATAAAACAGAATGAACACACATTATTTCAACACTTCTACATGAAATGAATGTGCTAGATTTGTTGTCAGGAAGGGAGGAGAATGAGTATGAAATTGCACACAACACTGTTTTCTCGCAGGTGACCTCCTTCCCCTGTCATTGTCAAATACAAGAATTTCAAGCGTTTCCTTAATTCTCGTGGAGTGGGGGCCACTAAGGTTAATGTTGGTTGCATGACTTCGGGGTTAAGCTTCAGGGTAACAGTCCCGGAGTAACTTCGTGATTATCCCTGGCTTACCTTGGGGTCGATGTTGCCTATAGCCCTACCGGTATTAGGGTAAAGTAAGGCTCCCTGGCCTACCGAAATCTCGTTAATACAGAAAAAAGGGAAAGAGCGCAAAAACTTTTGGGAGAAAACCCCCAAAATGATTTAAATTGATACTATGAGTTATATGGCTACTATCAGTTCCTTCTTTTCTTTGAGAGCAGGATTTCATACTAGTACCTGAGGTGAAGAGAATGAGTCACCGCTAAACCAAAGGTACCGAAACAATCTCTGCTCCTTTCCCGTAAGATCTGAAGCTTTTTGGATGTGTTACGGGCTGCCTCTTAGAATTGTTTATTCAGTGGAGTGTAGGAAAAGAAACTGCTGAAACACAGCATTAAGCCTTTATGGATGCGGACAACTGCCATTTTAAAATAAATAAAATCGATGTTAATATTTTCACATCCCTAAATTAAAAAAAAAAGGAAATAAACTTTTGAACAGAGACAACAGTTTACTCACGGGAGCTTCACGCGTCTTCCTAAAAGCTCAGAACAAAGACCTCAAATGTGGGTGTCACCGCTGGGCTTTTGGGAAACGCGCCTACCACGAATTCTGTCTGCCCCCCAGTGGCAGGTGAAACGCAGTTTCCTTTGTGGGCCTTCGCCCCTATTTCACTTAGGGAAGAA